AATTCGACACTTTAATGATGGTATGGGTCTGGCTGGGGCGATGGCACGCGTGCCCACAGAGAGGGCTCTGAGTGCCACCTCTGGCACCCGTGCCATAGGTTCGCCACCACTGAGCTATACTGTGGTATGTTTGTTACTCGTTAAGGTGCCACAGCATTCTTTGTTGTTCCGATAAGGTCGGTTACCTGAGGGAGTCCTACCCAGTGAGTTTCGTGGCAGGGTCTCCATTTTGCAAATCTGGCTGTTCCTTTACAATACTGAGCTTGTCTTCACAGCATTAGGTTATCAGGTTTATCTGCACACCTACAATGGCACAGGAATGGAATAAATTCTGCCATCTGCTTTTAGGAATAGCCAGCGTATTCACAAAGGTCATTCATGTGCATTTTCTGACTGCTGCTTACGCCTGAGTTTTAATTAAACATCAAATGCCCAGTGAGTTAGCAGTATGAATTTTGGGGAGTGGATTAATGTGTTTTAATTGCCAATGCATTTGCGTAAAACATGACGCACTTCTTGCTATTATTTTTTTGGCTGCCTGCTTTCAGTCCAGCAGTTCTGGGAACCAATTGTGAAGGGGAGAGTATACAAAGGGGGGGGGACCATGCTGAAGGGGTTTATACAACTTATGATTACAGGAAAAATTTCCAAGAACCCTTCTGGATAATATCTACAGCATGCGCTCCCAACTTTACTGTGTTTAGTATATAGCATGTCTGACTAAGCTGCAGAAGTTGTGGCATTCCTGTTGATGATGTCTGGGGCATAAAGCCCAAAGGTATGGCTGTGGCATAGAGTCAGACCTGCAATTCTGCTCACCTCTGTAGCCCTGCTGCCCAGTTTAGTAGATTGGGAGAAATTCCATACCAAATGGTACAGAGCCATTTTTTGTTCCAAGTTCCAGACTTGCTTTGGAGTTTAAGAGCCACCAACAAAGCACATGCTTTGCTTTCACAAAATCCAAGATCTAATCCACTGGCACCACCAGTTAATAGAGTTCCCCAATCTTTTCAAGCCTATGGGCACTTCTGGAATTCTGATACAGGGTGGTGGGTCAACTACAAAATGGCTCCTGCAGGAAGTGAAGACAACCCCAAAATGGCTGCCTCAGGAAGAAGAGAAGAGATTGGATTTATACCCCACCCTTCACTACCTGAAGGAGTCTCAGAGTGGTTTACAATCTCCTTTCCCTTCCCCTCCCCACAACAGACCCTGTGAGGTAGGTGGGACTGAGAGAGCTCTCTCAAGAACTGCTTTTTCCAGACAGAACAGCTCTGAGAGAACTGTGACTTACCTAAGGTCACACCAGCAGCTGCATGTGGAGAAGTGAAGAATCAAACCCAGATCTTCCAGATTAGAGTCCACGCTGCTAACCACCACACCAAACTGGAAGTGGAGCCAGCCACAAAATGTCAGGGAGTGAGGTTATTAAATACTTCTGGAGTTGGTATAAGAAAACTTTGATAACTGAATATATATTAAACTATACACATCTTTGGTATTTCAAAATATTTATTTAAAGGCATTGATATAAAACTTGTTAAATGTTGGATGTTGGATCAGGCCAAAGGCCCATCCAGTCCAACACTCTGTGTCACACAGTGGCCAGAAATACCAGTTGCCATCAGGAGGTCCACCAGTGGAGCCAGGACATTAGAAGCCCCACATTAAAGTGGCGGGCAGTGAGCCAAGCTCTATATGTGATGGAATGCAGAGTTGTGTGAGTTCACACGTTAGCACAGGGGTATCTAACTCATTTGTTATGAGGGCCGGATCTGAAATAAATGAGACCTTGTTAGGCTGGGCCATGTGTGTCATAAAATGTAATGCCAGGTAGCGGAGATATAAACTTTATAAAGGACACAAACACAAAGGGTTTTTTTTTTTACTTAAAATAAAAACATGCTTAAAACATTAGCAATTTTTTTTTGTTTATTTAACAGTGTCTGATAACTAACACCTCTTGCTCTGAATTATTGCATTAAAATGTCTGTGCTGTTGCAATCTTGAATATGCTGTTCAGGTGTGTATCTGTAAGCTGCAAACCCACGATGACGCAGCAGCAGCAGAACCGGAAGATGTAGCAGAAGACAGCCAGTTCCACTGCGAGCCTGATAGAAGCCCTCCAGGGGGCCTAATCCGGCCCCCGCACCGCATGTTTGACACCCCAGCTTTAGCAGTTCTCAAATGTAGTGGCAGAAACAAGGGAGTCTATGCAAGATCACAGACCATAAACTGAATTTACCAGGTTGCAAAAAAAATACTATGTATAATTAAAGAAGAATATTTTAAGTCTGTCATGTTGGTTTCCAACTCCTGACTTTCTGAATTTGTGTCTGTTCTGTGTCGATTGTATGGTGCCAACTGTTTTGTTCCAAACTGTGGATATGTGACTGCAGTTCATGAGACAGAGTGAAGATATAAATCCAAATCAATACTTCCTGCCTTCTAACTAGACTTTATTAATAGTCCACATCCAGTACAGTTCCCAGGTATGCAGTGGCTGACTTGGGCCTTTTTAACAAATGGAATCCTGGAACTTAATTTGTTCTCAGTGTAACATCCTGCATTGTATTGCCGTGACAGTGACTGCAATGCAGTGTTTCAGTTGTGAGTAAATGGACCCCTGAATATAAATAGGAAATATGATTATTCACACAAATGCTTTGCCTTTTTTAAAAGCTCCCATCGTGTTTCTTCTCCTAAAGTGCCTCTCTCAGAACTTCCAAGCGTTGTGATTAGTCTCAAATCAAATTAAGTTACCTTTTCGCCTCAAGCTTGCCAGGCTGTGTTTTGCGACAATGCACAGTATATTAGTCATCAGTGGAAGGTGGTGTTGCGTCATTCATTCATTGGAAAACCAAGAGGAGGCTAGAGTCTGCCTCTCTAGTGTTGGAATGGAACGTGGTCGACGGTGAAAAGGTGCTTTGTTTCTTGTGGAGAGCAGGCAGGCACACACGGGGCTGGGAGAGTGTATGTATAGAGACCAGGAGTGCGTCCCTGTTGAAATATTTCAGCTAGAACTAAATGCTTATGTTTCTAAAACTCAGCAGCGGGTTCCTTTTGAGAAGGCAAAAGAAGTAGTCTCTGCAGTGCAGTTATATAGAAACCTGGATTTTGGGACCATTTGGAGCTTACTAGTCCTGACCTGGATGGCCCAGTCTAGCCCAAGCATGTCAGGTCTCGGAAGCTAAGCAGGGTTGGCCCTGGTTAGTTATTTGGATGGGAGACCTTCAGGGCATACCAGGGTCGTGACTCAGAGGCAGGCCACCTCTGAAGCGTCTCTTGATCTGAAAACCCTGCAGGGCGGCCATAAGTGGGGTGTGACTTGCCAGCACTTTCCCCCACCACAGTCCAGTGAAGTTTCTAGCTGTTGATGATGATGACACATAACAAAGCGCAAGGAAGCCCCATTACGTGTATTGCATTTCTCTCTCACACCGCAGTCAGAATCTGGAGGCAGACTGCAAAACCTGTGTAATATAAAAATGAAGCAAAAGCCTTAAAAATACAGTTTAAAAGTATATTGAATTGAACAGCAAGATTATTGGTTTTTCTTAAAAATAAAATAAAATTATAGCTCATTTTTCCAGTTTAGCACAGTACACTTTATGGCAGTTATCAGAACAGATTTTGTTAAAATAGCAGCGGAAAGAAGTAGCAGCAGTCTCAACAGCAACAAGCCAAAATAATAAAGTAAAAGCTCAGGGGCTGCATCAAAATAAAATGCATGCGGTGAAGCAGCACAATTCCCTGAAACAAGGTTAAAAGGGGTAGCCCCCAAAGTTGCCAAATCCCAGTGCTGGTCATTATGAGGCAGGAGCAAGTGTTTTTTTACCAGAAAACAAAGGATCTCTTCAGGCTCCAGTCTTGGGGCTTTCAAGCTAACATGAAATGGGCTGTCAGACTAGAAAGAAGGGAGAAGTTTCTTGGGGACGTACAGACCATTTTCCATGTTGTTTTTTCTGGCAGAGAGCTGCAAAGTGTCTTTTACAACAGTCAAATGTATTATAAGGATGCATATTATATACCTGCCTCCTGTCTCGTATAGTCAGGTTGAGAGCCAGTTTGGTGTAGTGGTTAAGTGCGCGGACTCTAATCTGGGAGAACCGGGTTTGATTCCCCACTCCTCCACTTGCACCTGCTGATGTGACCTTGGGTCAGTCCCAAGCTCTGGCACAGCTGTCCTTGTAAAAGAGCAGTTTGTGTCAGAGTTCTCTAAGCCCCGCCCACCTCACAGGGTGTCTGTTGTGGGGAGCGGAAGGGAAGGGAAAGGAGTTTGTAAGCCGCTCTGAGACACCTTCGGGTAGTGACGGGCGGGGTATAAATCCAATCTAAAAAAAAAATACCTTTGTGCTACCACTCCTGTCATGAGGTGCTTATTTCCACATGAGAGAAGCCAGTGAGGAGCAACAGGACCAGACGTTCTTCACAGCTGTTAACATGACAAAATAACACAGTGTTTTCAATGGCATTGGTCAATTCCTCGTTTGATGTGCTGCCAGATCATCCTTCAGCAAACACTTAGTGCTTAGAGAATGAATAGAAGGCAGGCTTCAGGGATCCATGTTTCGCAGACAGTTTTGAGTGCAGGATTATTACAAGCCTGATTTTGCCAACATATGCTGTAAACTCTAGTGTGGTATAGTGGTTAAGAGCAGTGAATTCTAATCTGAAGAACTGGGTTCCCCCACTCCTTCGCATGAAGCCTGCTGGTTGATCTTGCACCAGTCACAGTTTTCTCAGAACTCTCTCAGCCCCACCTCCCTCACAGGTTGACTGCTGTGGGAAGAGGAAGCAAAGGTGATTGTAAGATGCTTTGAGACTCCTTAAGGTAGAGAAGAGCGTGGTATAAAGCCCAGCTCTTCTTCAGACTTTGCCCAGCCCCTGTTTTCTTGCCAGTCAGATCTTGTCTGGCGTTTGGGCTCTGCATTGATTTGGACCATGATGTGAACTTGGCTGAACAGAAACTTCCCTCCCTCCCCCCTTATCTTCCACAGATATTCGGAGCGTAGCCTTACGAAGTGCATTGGGATCACCATAGAGACCAGGCCAGACTATTGCCTGAAACGACACCTTAGTGACATGCTGTTGTATGGGTGCACGAGGCTGGAGATTGGAGTGCAGAGTGTCTATGAGGATGTGGCCAGAGATACTAACAGGTAAGGCCTTGTATGATGGAGGTGGGGGAGGGGATTGTTTTAAGTGGAAGTTAGACACATTTGTTGGAGGAGAGACCTGACAATAGTTTGTTAGCCATGATGGTTGGATGGAACCTCCATGTTCAGAGGTGGTATGGCTCTGAAGTTTAGGTTGCTGGGGCATAAACAACTGGGGAGGGCAATTTGCTTCACAAATTCATCAAAAACACTGAATTGAGCTCCAGTTGGCTGCGGTGTCAAATGCAGGAACCTGGGCACATTGGAGTTTGTATCTACAAACTTGACTTCGACTGTGGTTTAAAATCACGGTTTCTGAGGAGGAAACAAATTCTGATTTTTCCCAGGTGTTTGTATTTGGATATCACAGCATATTGGAGACAGATGCCAGGCTTCCCAAGACAGGAAACCTTCAGTTATCCTCTGCATGTGAGAGGAGCTGAAATGGGAACATATGAGCATAAGAACAAGCTGCATTCATGCTCATCACAGACAAATTTAAGTTCACTGTGATGTCAGAATGCAGCTTTAGTTCCTTGGATATAGGGTTTAGGGATGCATAGCCTTATTATTTGTATTTTGGATTACATAGCCCAAACCTTCTGCCTTCTCGTTTAATTGCTGTTGGAACTGGGAGGAGAGAATTGAATTCCCTTTCAGTTTCATAGCTGTAAAAATGAAACTCGATAGCTCCTTTGTATGCTGACAAGTTCTGGAATGAAATGGATGTGATCCTTATGTTTTTACACATGCAGCTTCAAATATTGTGTTTCTAAGCTACAGACATTTTAATTTTCCATCTTCCTAGGAGGCTACTGAAACAGCTGTGTATGTAAATGTACTTGGTGTCACCAGCTCGCGTGTGTTGTGTGTGTGTGTGTTTTGCCTGGAGACTGTAGAGTTAAGCCCCACAGCAGCCAGGAGTATGGCTTATAATAAGGGACTGTAGTCCAGGAGCATTATTGTTGTCGTCATCATCATCATCATCATCATATTCATAGCCCACCTTTCTCAATAAACTCCAGGTGGACACAAGGTGAAAAGCGATTCAATCAGAAATCAAAGATCTCTACTAAGCCAAGTAGTAGACCTGGGATTGCAGAACTGGGAAACAACAGAAGTGAAAAACTGATCCTCCAAGAGAGTGCCTGGGTTGAAGATCACCCAATAACTGTGGGGATTTCAACCCAAGTCTCTCCGTTCCAATACTTGAGTTATTCTGTTATGCTGGCTCTCGCACATGTATTAAAACAACAGTTTGCGGTCCACTTAATGACTATATCGGGTGTTATTGAATTTCTGTTATTCTGCTGAGTCGTAATTCTGATGAGGCCAAGCTAAGGAAAGCGTGTGGGAGGCTCATCACTTCCGTTCCTTGTGCTGTGTTGAGTACTGTTGGATCTGTGCCTGTCTCCTGAGTCAGAATTTCAGTGCAGCTCAGCACCATCAGCCCCCCCCCCCCCGATAGGATGGCTAATGAACTAGATATAACTTCCCAAACCAATTGTGGTTACTGGGTTAATTCACTGTTACAGAAACAAGGGTTTCTTGGAATACTTGGCAAGCAGAAGGCCCTGGCATCTCCAGCTAAAGGCAGCAGGTCTGAGAACGGCTGCTGGTCAGAGCTGACTGTGCTGTGCCAGGTGGAGTAATGTTCTGTGTGTGACCTCTTACATTACTGAATTCGTGTGAAGACTAGGGAAACTAATTAACCAACCATTGCAGCCAAAAGGGTGCTGGTTTATCATAATGAATGGGAAGTCTAGGGTTGTTTGTTGTGCTGCATAGTCCCTCAAATTCCTAGGCCAAAACTTTCAGCGGACCAGTTATGAGCTGATTAGTTCAACAAGCCATGATTTGGGCTTCCACAATAGCGCCAGCCTACGCAGGCAGGACTTTGAGATGCACTGTGGAAACACAGAAGTGATTTTGTTCACCTTTTCCAAGGGCAAGAATGAAACTGTATGTTCGATCATGTGGAAGTGCTTCCTTCTCCTGGATGATAACCTGTTGATTGGTATGGGGGAAGGTGCAGAGAAAATCCCTTGGTAGACAAGTCCAGTGAACAAGTCCAGTGAACTGCAAGCAGTGTTGTCTATTCCAGCAAGGGTCTCCTGGCTCTTTAGCAGAGAACTGGCCCAAGCTGGGCACACTTTTCTGGAAGAGCTACCTTGCTGGATCAGAAGAAGAGATTGAGCAGCTCCTGCCCTAGGAGAAGAGGAAGAGTCTGAGATGCTCTTTTCTTTTTATCCATAAGCAAAGTAAGTAAGTGCAGATACTCGCAACAAGTAAGTGCAGTTGCTGGAAACTGAACTTGGGACCTTCTGCCTGCAGAATGAGTATTCTACCTCTAAGCTATGGCCCATGCCACAGTAGAGAGCTAGATGTTCCTTGACTAATACAAAGCAGCTCATAAGAACATAAGAACATAAGAACATAAGAGATGCCAATGTTGGATCAGGCCAAAGGCCCATTCAGTCCAACACTCTGTATCACACAGTGGCCAGAAATACCAGTGCCATCAGGAGGTCCACCAGTGGGGCCAGGACCTGTGTCCCAGAAACTGCTATGATAAGTATAGAGGCATTTTAAGGCTTGTGCAGATTTAAAAACTACGTTTCCATCCCCCCTCCCTAGGGGCCATACAGTGAAGGCTGTGTGTGAATCATTTCACTTGGCTAAAGATGCTGGATTCAAAGTGGTGGCGCATATGATGCCAGATTTGCCAAACATGGGGCTTGAAAGAGACATTGACCAGTTTGTGGTAAGTAGGATCCAAACTTCAATTGAAACACTTTTTTGGCTTTTGGTTCTCTCGGCAGGAGTAATGAGACAATCTGATGAGTCTGGAAAAGAAACTCAGTTCAGAGTTGAGTGGAAGGTGTAAGAGGGCAATGAAAGACTCGGCCGCTTCTTTGTGACTCTTTGAATAGCCAAGCCATTTATCAGAAACTTGGCTAATAGGCAGGTGCTGTTTCAGGTGTGGGCTTGAGCAGAGTCAGAGCGATTAGGTTGCTGAAGTCATAGAATCATAGAATGTTAGAGTTGGAAGGGACCTTGCAGGTCATCTAGTCCAACCTCCTGCACTCTGCAGGAGCATAGCTGAAAGATAGCCCTACATACCTACAACATACCTAAAAGATGGTCATCCAGCCTTCGCTTGAAAACGTCCAGCTAAGGAGCATCCACGACCTCCCGAGGCAGACTGTTCCACTGCTCAGCCACTCTTACAGTTAGGAAGTTTCTCCTGCTATTTAGCCGGTAACGACTCCCTTGTAATTTCCACCCATTAGATCTAGTTTTGCAGTCCGGAGCAAGAGAGAATAGATCTGCTCCAGTCGTGGCCAGAAAAGCCATGCAGAAGTCAAAGTCTTAAAAAGCAGAGTGTAG